TAATCCGCTAGGGTATGAATTTTACAAAATCATACCACGATTTTTTCAATTTTTTTATTTTTAATATCTCTTAGATATTAAATGTAATGTATCCTATGTATTCTCGACTCTTTCACCGTGCATCATTATCATTTGACTATATCTATATATATATATATATATATATATATATATATATATATATATATATATATATATATATATATGACACACACATACAGACACACACACACATACATCGGTTCAGATCAACCCAACTAGTTAAGGTATGATACTTATTTTTAAAACATTTAAATTGATACTAACAAATGCAATTTGTACTTATAAATTATAAAATATAAAAGGGGAAATTCTGTGTATAACACTAAAACAATGCCCCTTTCTTTTAATAGCACTAGTGTTAGAAAGCCACATGTTTTATTGACGCAGGGGTGAGGAAAAGACTATAATGACCTTCACTCTTATTTTTGTAGATCTGTACAACCGCACATCCTCCATTGTGAGTAATAACAGGCCCCATGAAACATGTGGACAGTGTGTGAGTTAATGGACCTAAGAGAGTGCGTATGCATGAGCAAAGTTAAGGACAGTGTGTACATTAATATAAAATTCAAAAGTAATCACAGTCCCCCTGATGGACAATGTGTGAGTCAAGCACATAATTGGATACAGTTTAGATAGTTTAAGGATTCCTGGAAATTAAGGATAATTAAAGATTTGTTTTCCAAAAATAAGTAAAAATTAGAAGGAATAATTTTTAGTGGGCTTAGGTTACGAAAGGGTAGGCTAGGTAGTACGGATGAAAATTAGTGTTAGTGAGAGAAAAGATTAGTAGTGGTGTTATTTAGGTAAAACAACTATGATTTGGTGCCCCTTGGGCAAATTTCACAATATAAAAATACATGTGATATAATTAATTACAAACTTGTTTGAAAATGTATCTAACAATATAATAAATAATACTCCGTATTATTTTTCTTTCGAAATTACTTTTTAGATATACCTAACAATATTATGAATAATATAAAAATAAATATGTAGCATTTTTTGAAGAAAATGTAAGATAAATATGTGATATAATTGCAAACTTATTTTGGAAAATATAAGTGTATACACAAAAAATGAGTAATAAGAAAAAATAAAAACATAACTCTCTTTTATTACAATATTTTTTATTTTAAAGTCTACTGCAAAAGTAAAATGTATCGTGGTAACTCCAAAATGTATCATTCTCATGATAAGGGCTATTCTTGCAGTAAGATTTGTTCTCACTCGAACTGCAATACATACATACATACATACATACATACATACATACATACATACATACATACATACATACATATATATATATATATATATATATATATAGACACACATATACACACACACACATGAAATTTAAAATGTTGGGCCTCCAAAATATTGGTCTGGGCCGGTAGGGCACATTGCCCCATACGAGGACCGGCCCCGCGCTCACAGTTCTTTGGAGAAAGATCGCAGAAGACAGAGACATACTTTAATTTCTTGCGTTTGAGATTTTAATGGGGAAATATAATTTTATTGAGTTTTGTCTCTCCTCATGATCCATAGAAAAAGATAGTGCATTAAAACTTTAACAAAACTAAAAATACGAGATTGAAAATATAATTATGATTCGTAACGATTATTTGATTTACGCTATGTTTGATTCGAAGAATTAGAAAGTCAAAGAAAAAAATTCTCTTAGTTAGTGTTTGAGAAATAGAATTAATTTGAAAATTTAGATTTCAATTCCAATATTTGAGATTTCGTAATTTCAAATTTCAAATGTTGTTTGGGGAATTATAGAATTCAATTCTAAAATTTAAATTTTGAAGTCGACAAAGACGGTTACGTAAGCGAACTGATTTGTATGAAATTGTTACTCCCTCCGTCCGGGAATGATGTTCCCAGTTTGACTTTTCTCATTTTTAAGGAGTGTTGACTTTAGGATGAAAATGTCTAAATTATCCTTCTTATTTTCTTTGATTTGCCACTAGAACCACTGCCCCAATCCTAGGTCCATGAACTACCACCCGGCCACCATTGTTGGCCGCCGCCGCCCCAGCCCCCACTGTTGCCCTTACACAATCATCGTCAACCCTATCTAGCAACAGTGGTCGCCGCTCCAACATCTCTGCCAGACCCAACCACCATTGCACCACCCCCACCACCACCATCAATCGGACCATCATCCTCAGCTATATGTAGATCTTGGGGCGGCGAGAAAACAGAAGGGGGGAGATGAGATGAAGAAGATTAAGCATATGTAGATCTCCGCAGATCCACCACCACTCCAACTCTCACGACCGCCATGTGTTACAGTGTCGCCGCCAACCCCAGATCTATAGGAAAAGAAGAAGCAACAGAGAGAATAAAGAGAGAGAAAGAAAGGAAAGAAAAGGAGATTGAAAGGAAGAAGGAACGGCTGGAAGAGAGATAAGAGAGAAGAAAAAGGAAGAACAGAAAGAGATGGAGAAAAGGGGTGGCGGAGGAGGAAGGGGAAAAGAAAAAAAAGAAAGGAAAAAAAGAAAGAGATGGATGGTAATTTTGGAAAAGTAGAGGAAAAAGCGTACAATGAGAACATCATTCCCGGACGAAAAAAAACGTACAATGGGAACATCATTCCCAGACGGAGGAAGTATTATATTAGAAGAGATCAATTTAAATGACACACGGAGATGTGTGAATTTGTAGTTGAGTTAATTTCGAATAAGAAGAATCTAGTCAAAATTGAAATCCAAATTCTTTGAGTTTCTATACAAGTAATTTGTATCAAATCTGGATCTGAAATCCAAATTCAAGTTTTCAAACATACCATTATTTTAATGATCAAATTGGAAGAATGTTTATTTTTCACTTCTTTAGTGTATTTATTCATCTTTTTTTTTCCTCTCACTTTTTTTCTTTTTTTAGAGTACTTTTTTTCTCCTTAAACCAATACAAATACGGAGCATTACATTCCATATATTTTTCTTCTTTTTATTATCTTTTTAGATTACCTAAACAAAATATAAGGATTATAGGATAAACAATATTCTCGATATGGGGAAATTTATGGTGACTTCATTATTATTACTACGCTAACATGCTTCCAATATAATCTTTAATAATAAAATTTGAATAACTCCAATGTTTTAAAATTAGGAAAGGATAAACTTACAAAAAAAACAAGCCACCAAGAAATCAAATGGTGTACATGCAGTGTCCCTTTATAAAATTGATAGTTTTTATCCCTTGTCCCCGCACCCCCTCTCCCTCCCTTAGTCACTGTTTTAGCAGTTTAAACTGCTAAAACAATAATTAAGGAAGGGGGTGGGGTGGGGTGCAGGAAGACTAAGACCGTGGGCTAGGTGAGGATTTAGGAGGGTGTTAAGAGTGTAAAAACCATAAATTTTATAAATGAAGCACATAAGTACCAAAATTGAATTGTTATAAGGATAGCCTACCCTTTAGAATTACCAATAACAAAAGTTTTGTACAAATCATACAAATTAGGGTAATTTACCTAAATATGACTAAAACATAATGACTTTCTCAATATAGGATCATATGTTTTACTGGGTATTTTCCAATGTAGGACCATTGTTCATTATTCAACTAAATGTCTAGCATCATTTAAACATTATTTTTCTCACTAGTTGTTATTAAGTCTTATTTAGAAAATAAAAAAGTTTAAGTCTTACATTGAGAAATGACTTGTGTTTTTGTCCTATTCAGTGCAAATTTCACTACAAATTATCAATGATTTTAAAACCGGACCGAACCGGCCGGTCTAACCGGTCAGGCCGCGAACCAGTGAGCTTCCCGGTCCGGTCCAATATCAAAACCCAGTTTCCTTTTGACCCGCTGGAAACCGGCCGACCCGGACCGATCCGGAAAAAACCGCTGACCCGGGTCGACCCATTGACCCATCGTCTTTACTATGTTGATATAATATATTTGTTTTATCAACTTTTAAACTTTAATATGCTACATTTCGTTTTTAATTAATGAAATATAAACTTTATAATGTCAATAATACAGAAGAACACATTATGTAGTCTATTTATTTTTAAAAATATGAGTATTATTTTTTTCTATTTATGTATTTATTAGACATTCAATCTAAACTTTTAATAAAAATAGAAATTAAAGTATTAAATTTTATATTCACAATGATATTAATTGAAAATATCTATAATATGAGAAAAGTGCACCGTTACCCTCGAATTCTTTGAAAATTACACGGTTCACCCCCGAACATTAAAAAGTGCACCAAATACCCCTGAATTCTTTAGTAATTGCACGCTTTACCCCTGAATAATGAAAATTGCACCAAATATCCCTAAACTCTTCAAAAATTGTACTGTTTACTCCTGAACATTTAAATACAGACGATAATTTTGGGAAAAGGTACTTTGGAAAAATCACAAGGGTCAGATGAATCATATTCGCAATTGTTGTGCGTGGAAGCAACGCACTCCCTATCTAATAGTTTAGGACCAACGATGCAACGATTTAATTTGTTCAAGGGTATTTGGTGCATTTTTTAGTTTGCAAGGGTAAATCGTGCAATTTTCAAGAAGTTCGAGGGTAAACGGTGCAATTTTTATAGTTCAGAGGTAAAATATGCAATTTCTAAAGAGTACGGGGGTAAACAATGCACTTTAGTCCTAATAATATACATATATAAATAAATATATTAATTTTATTTGACCAGTTTGTTGACTCCTGGGTTGACCGGTTCGACCGGTTAGCCCTTGACCCACACCCTCGTCCGAGTCGATGGCCGGTCCGGTTTTCAAAACATTGCAAATTATTAGTCTATGACTCTATGTGGGAGAGACAATAACAGTCTTTTGGTGTGTTTACAAAACTTGAGGCATGATATTCTCAAAATCTTGGGTTATGAAAGCAACCGTTGATTATGTAAAATTTTAGGGGGGTGAAATGCAATGTCACAAAAGTCTAGAGGTGAAATTGCATTTAAGGCAAAGCAATCCTGCATTTATTATATATAAACCCGGTGCGTGCCCTAAATCCGACCCGCCTTTTCATCGCAATCTCTCATCGCCGTCGCCCCACCTGCGTCTTCGTTCTCTGAGGTAATCCTTGCCTCTCTACTTTCTGATTTGGTCTCCGTCTCCTATGGAGTTTTGTCTGCCTATACTTTTAGTTTATGAATGAATAAATGTTAAATTTAGGGTTAAAAGTTTCTTCCTTTTTTCTTTTGCGGTTTGCTTGTTCAAATTCGAAGTTATTCGTAGGTTTTAACCATCGATTTTGTCACTTTTTGTCAAATAATCGTTGCAGTTTTTAAATTGAAATCGAGAACTTATCTTCATATCTGTGAATGAAAACAAATTATTTTCTGTGACATAAAGATGCATCTTTTGCAGTTTCAGATCTCATTTTGCAGAGTTGTTTCTTTAAATTTAGTGTATTCGGCTGACATGGTTTGTCAATAATATAGACATTCGTCACTATGAAGCTGGTATATCCCAAAATTTGGTTGCTTTTGAATATGTTCTTTTTGTTTATTCACTTGAATTCTATGGCATTTTTGTGATGGATATGCTTCCCTTTGATGTTTGAGGGCTAAGAAGATGAGATGATGCTTAACCTAAAAGCTTAGTGACCTAACTTGTATCATAGCAATTGTCCTGTGTATTTGTGCTTTTGGATTATTCTGTACATCACCTTCATGCCCTTTTATGATTGTAGTTCTTGGGCATTGTATTTTCGTATGCACTGTAGATTGAAATGATGATGTCTATGTTGATTGATGGTTCAAATAATTGAACTTTAGAATGTAATAGCTCTAGCTGATCATTCTCTTTTGCCCCCTCTATGTTATGCGCATTGCTTCCATCCGAGTTTTGCCCAATGCAATTAGTTTTCTTCCATGATCCTAAGCAACAAAATATGATATTCTTATTCTAATTGAAAGACAACATACTTATGGCTTGCATTGTTTCTCTGTGTCCTCCATTTGTCAGACGTTTACCCTACAGCAATGAGGGGAAGAAGCTACAGTCCAACCCCACCACCTAGAGGTGGATATGGCAGACGCGTACGAAGCCCAAGTCCCAGAGGTCGTTATGCGGGACGTGCTAGAGATGGACCAACTAGCCTTTTAGTTCGTAATCTTCGACGTGATTGTCGGTATGGACTATAGAGTCGTATACTAATTAATATCATATATTTGAGTTCTATTTGGTGTTATTATTTAGATAAACATGTGCCAATTAAACATCATGTCATTCTAGATTTATTTATTTACTGGTTGTATATAATTTTTCTTTTCCAAAATCCAACCATTGCATTATGATAGTTAAGGGTTTTTTTCATAATAGTGGACAATTGTTATACTGCCATTTGTTCATGAATGATTTACAACCTATGGTATAATGGTATATATCTTATATTTTTAAACAGGTTCTGAAACACATGCTCAACTAAATGTTCATTTACTATTGAAATATGTTTGGATCCTTTTGTCATTGAAATTTCTATATCTGCGCCTTGACAAGTCTTTCATTTATGCCAGAATTTTTTTGCTTCTTTGTCTGGTCTATTCCTCTTTACTGTTTTTTGTTTTTTGCACAACCCTTGTACGCACTAGGAACTTTACTCTATGGAACATGTATGCACTTATGACGTATCTGTATTTTCTATTTTATATTTGATTTGTTCAGGCCTGAAGATCTGCGGAGGCCATTTGGTCAATTTGGACCTCTTAAGGACATCTATCTGCCAAGGGATTATTACACTCGGTGAGATTAGTTTTCAGCAATCCCCCAAGTTTTGGAATTTAAATACTCATTTCTTCTGCAAGTCATACATCTTCACATTTCATAAATTGCATGTCATTCATGTTTTCCATAGAATTAAGGATTTCAATATGGTAGTTGGTTCAACTTTATTCATTTGATATACAAATTAGGGGTTTATTAAAACTGTTGAGATTTAGCAGTGAAAAAGAGTTATGAAGACGTGAATGAAGTATTAAGAGTTCTGTTGACATTCAAGTAGAGTAAGAGTTCTGTTGACATCAATCAGTAAGTAAAGAGTTCAAGGTGATGTTAATGGTAGTGAACGTTGGAAGGATTTTGGATATGAATACAATGTGAAGATATCAAGATTTCAAGTCTTGAAGAATTTCAAGCCATCTTTAAACTCACACTACCAAGGTCAGCAGCCATGTGCCTGCTTATGCACTTATCATGGCCTTCCATTTCATTCCGTTTTCAGACATTACTGAACTGCTTTTAACACTCATCGCATGAGCACATGCTGGCATTAATTATTGTTATCCAATTCTTGCTGTTTTGTTTTAGGCTTAGGTTGATACTTGATAGTCAAACTTTATTGTGTTCAACAATGGATATGACTCAAGATTATTCATTTACCTGACTATGTTTTTCTCACTCCCACCTCATTTACTATTTTTGCAGGGAACCAAGAGGATTTGGTTTTGTCCAATACATAGAACCTGATGATGCTGCTGAGGCCAAGTATCAGATGGATGGTCAAACTTTTCATGGTCGGCAGCTAACTGTTGTTTTTGCTGAGGAGAACAGGAAAAAGCCAACTGAAATGCGAGCTCGGGAGCACAGGTCTGTTATGCAAAATATTTGAAGGAATTATTAAAAATTCAGAGCATCATTTTAGCCCTAACTTCCCGAGTACCTGAATACTAATGAGAGGATGGTCAAAGAATTTGTTTCACATGATAGCTTGGTTGAAATATATATTTCTTCCTTTTGAAAACAGACCACCTCTATCAAAATAAAACTCGTATATCATATTTGGATTTTTTAAAATAATATGATTGGATGGAATATTAAAGCATTGATTATGCATTTCCCCAGCATTTTTAGATTACTTTTGAAAAAAACAGATTCTGGGAAACAAAATAGCTACTGATCTTTTCAGAATCTAAAATGAAAGCACTCTGATCTTGGGATGAGATTGAGCAGAATTAGCTTTTTAGAAGCTAGGCAAAATGGCTCCTTAATAGACTGTATGTCAATTACTTCTCATTGTTGGGTTCTTCACTTGATCGATACCAGGGGTGGGCGCAGTTATGAGAGGAGACGTTCTCCTCGCTACTCACGTTCTCCACCGTCTCGGTATGCAAGATCTCGGAGCCGTGATTACTACTCTCCTAGGAGAAGGGACTACTCTAGGTATGTCCAATCATCTCCTGTTTTTTTGTAACTGTGATACCCGCAGATCGCAATATATATCGTACAACCGGTTATATGGTGTTTCTTGTACATCTGTAACTTAGTACTCATTTACGAGTAACTGAATATTCATGTTTTGGAGCAACTGAATACTCATTTTTGAGTAATAGAATACTCATGCTTGAAAATGGGTGTTTAGTTATTCAAAAATGATTATTTATTTAGTTATTTAAAAATGAGTATTTGTGCCAATGTACGGGAAACACCATTCATTCGGACTAATGGTTCAGGTACCTGCTTCCTTCCTTCCATTAATGTTAAGACCTTTGTAAATTGTGCAGGTCTGTCTCTCCAGATGGGAGAAGAAGCCGGGAGAGATCTTACTCGCATTCTCCAGATCGGTCCCCAGTTTATAACGATGGGTCGAGGAGCCGGAGCCAAACTCCAGTAAGGGATCATTCGCCACCTTACTCTAGGAGTACCAGCAGAAGTCCAGGGGGCAGGAGAGCCCGTTCTCCCCCACACGCCAAAAGCAGGAGCCCTGTTGGAGGCGCAAGGGGTAGGAACTACGACGGCCCGCCAGAATATCCCGAAAGTTAATCTCTCTCTCTCTCTAGAAGTTGCAGGCTTGTTGCAGGCGAGCTAAGTCTATATTGTCACTTTTGTAGCTGCTACCTTTAAATGCACTCTTATTGAGGGGTGATTCCTTTGGGTCTACCTTTTATGTTTGTGTGAGATATGTGAACCTGACTAATTTATGTTCTTTCTAGGATTGTTTGTAACTGGAATTGCCTTGTTTCTTTTCTAATGGGGCCAGAAAATGTTTTCATTATATTATTTTATTCCCCGTTCTGTTGAAAAATTGTTTCCAATGTTTTTGGGTTAAATATGTTTCTGATTTCTTTATAAAAGTGATTTTTTATTTTGGTTCTAATTTTTTTGGTCAAGTTGTATAATACTGCTTCCGTCTCACAGTACTTTAATTTTTTATTTTTTAGTTAATCTTTTTCAATATTTTACCTAAAACTAAATAAATGTATATTGTATATTAATTACATAAGTAATATTTTGTAAATATCTTATATATTAGATTTCCTAAATCTGTTTTTGTAACCATATGTAACATGGAGTATTATTTTTATTTAATTTTTGGTTAATGTTTACGCCCCGTATTAATTATGTTTGAAAAAAGTTCAAAATAGACAAATATGTGGGGTGACTCTTCTGAAATGGTCCACTCATAAATTTTAGCTGTCTGATGTAATTTAGGATTTTATGGTTAAGGTGTTTTGTACTCAATTATGTTGAAAATTAGTATGGAATTAAAAAGTGCTTCCTTCGAGAGTTTAATGTTCTTGCTTTGACTCTGCATAAATTTTATTAAAGAAGAATTTACTTAAATAACTCTAAAAAATAGTGATTTTTTATTTTCTAATGTAGCACTCCCTCCGTCCATGTATGATCTTCCCATTACGCGTTACGATGCTTGACCGACTTTATTTTCAATTCAATTTAATTGATTATAAGGGTAAAATTTTAAAATAAAATTTATATAGTAATAAACTATATGAAAAGTTCTACAAAACTAGAGGTGACAAGAATATACTACCTCCGTCTCATTTTATAATGCCTGTTTCGGTTTACGATGTTTGACTGAAATTATTTTCAAACCATTTTATATGACAAATGGTATAGAATTAAAAAATAAAAATTACATACTAAAAAACTACATCAAAAGATCTATAAAACTAGTAGTGACAATAATATTTTATTTTATCAAATTGTTAACGAAAATAGAAAAAGAAAGTGAATGAAGTTTGATCCTGTGAATAGTAAACAGGCATTATAATTTGGGACGGAGGGAGTATTATTTTATGAAATGACTAGTAAAATTGAGTAAAGAAAGTGAGTAAAGTTTGACCATGTGAATAGTGGCTGGGAAGATCTATGGTGGACAGAGGGAGTACTATACATTTTTGTATATATATGTCCTCATTTCCTTTTAATGTTTTTTAATGTTAACTTTTGTCAATTGTTATTTCTTTTTCGAACAAAAGTGTTCTTGACAAACTTGGGCTGAGAGTAGGGGTGGACACGGTACCGGTACAGTACCGGTACCGGAAACGGTACCGCCGGTTCCGGTACCGTTACCGTCGGCCGGTACGGTCCACCGGTTCCGGGAACTGGTACCGGTACCGCCCAATCCGGTACCGGTTCCGGTGTCCATTTTTCGGTACCGGCACCGGCGGTTCCGGTTCCGGTACCGTTATTAATTTTTTTTATTTTTATTTTTTTATTTCATTCTTTCCTTTATCAATTTCATTTTTAGATTTTTTTATTTCATCATTTCTTTAACAATTACACATTTACAATTTTACATTTTAAAAATATAATAAATAGCAAAAAAAAACAAAATCAGGGGTGGCCGAAACGGTACCGGAACCGGAACCGGAACTGGTACCGGCCGGTCCGGTCCGGTACCGGTACCGGTACCAAGGGGTGGCGGTACCGGAACCGGCGGTTCCGGAATCGGAACCGTCCCGGAACCGTACCGTGTCCACGCCTAGCTGAGAGAGTTCGTATATATTGACACAACTAGATGAAATAATCTTTCTTTTATTCAACAAACACATTGATGACTTCACACGTACTAAACATACATACAATGCATACATTTATTATATATATATATATATATATATATATATATATATATATATATATATATATAGACAACTAAATGAATATAATTAAGCAATCTTTCCTTGCTTGAGGGGTCTTTTAGGAATCTTGTCAAATTGAGCTTTGAGGCCACTTTTTTCATATAGAACCTTAAAATCTTCATAACCTTTGCTTGCCAAACGGTTCACGTCGCTTTCATACCTTTCATAAATTGCTGGTATTGTCGCAAGACAGATAAATCCTAAAACATATCAATTTATCAATTAATTATTATTTGCAAACCAAATAGTTAAATGGAAAATTTAATTAATCAAGTACCCTTAATGATCATAGCAGATTTTACCTCTTTAAAAAATTGTAAGCATTTGAAAATAAAAATATTATCGTTCAAAAAAAATGTGTTTGAACAAAGAGTAGAATTTTCGTTGAGTATGTCATGCTCACACATTGACTGACCACGAGAATAAATAATGTCTTTTTTAGAATATTCCAAACATGTTAAAATACATAGTCAATTATAAGATTGCAAATTCATACACTATTTTTTTCCTATATTAACAACAATTATATCAATCAGTTTTTATTTTGGGACAGAGAGAATTGATAATAATTAATTAATTACCGGTGTATACAAGATTCAAGAAGTTGAAATAGTTTCCAATTACTGATAGTATCCAAAGGACACTTATTGCCTACAAGGAGAGATGAAAATGTTAGTGGTAAATAAATAAAGTTGTTTTGGAAATAGTTTTTTTTAAAGATCAAATTAAATGAAATTAATTATATATATATATATATATATATATATATATATATATATATATATATATATATATATATATAATTATTACCAAGATAAATTTTCTCAAATCTTTGCCAGAAGCCACTTCATAGAAGGTCAAGAGGAACTTATTGAGCTTCCCAAATAACCATTTGATTGTTGACTCTGGTATTGCCACATCTTCCAAATCCGGAGGGCTCCTAAAGATTTAATTGTAATTTGGATGTAATTAATTAAATAAAGAGAACATCTAAAATAACATAAATTGCTTATATATCAATTTGTTCGGGAACACGATCGTTCCTACCCCGTTTAGGGAGGGGCGAAGGTGTCATTTTGGACATCTTTTTAGTTAAATACGAGATATCGTAAGTGCCAAACGAACTGGTGTAAGCAAATAACAGTAACAATACTAATGTCATTTATAATACTTTTCTTAATTAAATACGGAGTATGATTTTTAAAAAAGCACTAATTAATTTATTCAAAAGCTAGGCTAATTAATTTTAATCCTCCAAAATTGTGATTTAAACTCCAAAAAAACTTTTAATTAATTAATTAGTGAATTACCAGATGTCAAAAAGTGAGGAGGCGGTGGACCAGAGGAAAAGGAGGGACATGGCAAAGATGGAGAGGTAAGACAAGAGGGACACAACGGTAAATTCCTCCACTTCCAATAGGAACCATACAAGTGTCACTCCAATCACCATTGCTGCTGACACTTGCTTGTTCTTCCACAGCAGTAAATCAGCCACTACAAGTAATAATAATAATAATAATAATTTATATTAATCATCATCTTAGCATTATTTGCTAATTATTCAAATGTATTACTGCGTATAACAATGAAAACAACTACAATAATAATATACTATATCCGTCCCAGATGATTTGTCCAATTTAGACATTTTTCAATCAATCATTTTTAACTTTTGACCTATAACTAAATAAAATATATACTATACATTAATTAGATAAAATAATATATTGAAAATGTTTTATATGATAAATATAATAAAACAATTTTCGTATCAATATCATTTTAATTTAATTTGGGATCAACATTTACCAATTTTGATAAAAAAAAAGTCAAACTGCACAAAAAAGTCTAAGCAGAAGGAACAGTCTTCTATAAAACAAATAAAAGTTGTATCACCATACCATTTCCACCGCCGAGCACGCGCTTGGATCTACTATGAAGGGGCGGCGATGGGAGTCGGACGCGGGAAGAAGACGAAGAAGGGTTCATTGTGTATAGTTATGAATAAGAATAAAATTAAAAAAAATTAAAACAAGTTAATTCAATTTTGTACTTGGTTAGTTTTTTTGTTAATTTGTTGTATATGTGATTGGCAATATAATGAATGATGCAAGGTTAGATTAAAAGCATTGGCTTTAATGGCTGATATATATATATATGGGATGTGTGTAATGGAATAATATGGTTGCATTGTGAGTTGATTTAAGAATTAAAAGTGACATTGAAGAAAAGAATGGCTTTGGCATGCTCTCCAAGATTTGCATATATACATCACCAATGTTTGGTTAGGGGGAAATAAACTTATTTTAAAAAAGATTTAAATTTGGAATTCGAGTGAAAAATGTTAAATTAAAGAATAATTATTTTGGTCGAGAAGTTTAATTTAGAGGTTTAGTTTGGGGAAAATGGGAGAAATTATTTTGGTCCATTAAAATATTGTTTCGATTTCAGGCATGAACATTCATATATATGATAAATACACATTATCAAGTGTTGAAGTAAATATTTTTAAAATTAAAAAAATATGTGAGAAGGTCCATGTAGGCCTTATGTCCACCATACAATACTTTCGATTTAATGGATACAAGTTTAATGGTAAATTATTTTCCATTTTTCAACTAATTCTTCTCATAAATTGTGTTTACAATAAATTTCATAAATGATTTCTTACAATGTAGTGTATTTTTATATATAGTATATAATTTTAAGAAATTTCATTGTTGGTCTCGATATTTTAGAATTATTCTATAATCAGTGTTTTGATCCAAATATTAATTTTCACATATAGTTATCAAAGAAGTGTGATACTTGCATGGTCCCAAAGTCACATTTAAAATGTGGACCTTCTCACATTTTTATGAGCTTTTATGTGGATATTTTTTATTTTGTAAAAGGCTCACTTTTTTATGCTACTAATGCACAAAGGTCTATAAAATAAGTACGAACCTTAGGTCTACGTAAAAATTGCCCTCAAAGAACTAATTATGAAATAGTTTTCAAATATTGGGGATCACGAATGTAAATTTTTTTAGAATTGTAGACTATTTATGAAAAAACACTCCATCATAAGGGATTGTTTGTGAAATTTACTCATGTTTTTATATTTGTTTTTTTAACATTTTTAGAAAATGTTAAAAAAAGGAGTAAATTCCATAAAAGGTCATTTTACATATTTAGTCCCTACATATCAAAAATTACTAATTTAGTCTCTAATTAGTATATCATTTTTCACGAATGATCCTTTGTTAACGTTTTTTGTTAAGAACATAGATAAAATTGTATATTCATACTTCTCTCTCTTCTCAATTAAGCTTCCTCCCTCCTTTCGTACTCTTTCCCAAACTCGTCTCTGAGTTTAAAACTCTAAACCCAAAATTGAAATGATCATTCCTCTCTCAATTATTAGTCTTTCTGGTGGAACCTAAAATCAAAACCAATAAGGTTTCTAGATGAGTTTTATCGGTTAGTCTCAAAAAATTGCAAAGAAAATAAACATTAAAACTCATCCATTAAGGTTATTGGTTTCGAATTTGGGTTCCACCAGTTAGACAAACAATTGAGAGAAGAGTGATGATTTCGGTTTTGGGTTCAAAGCTTCAAACTCAGCGACGGGTTTGGGAAATGAGTATGATGGGAGGGAGGAAGCTTAATTGAGGAGAGGAAAGAGTGCAAATTTACAATTTTATCCACGTTCTTAATGGAAATGTTAACAAAGGACCATTCGTGGAAATGAATATAATAATTGGGGACTAAATTAGTAATATTTGATATGTGGGGACTAAATATGTAAAATGACTTATAACTGGGGACCTTTTATGAAATTTACTTAAAAAAAGATAAGTTTGGATAAAATTTGTTAAAATGAGATAAAATTCTGAGCCACATATTTTTTTCATGAAAGGAAAATAATTTTTTTAAGAGAGAAAAAAAATGAAAAAGTGAATTTTGTAGAGAGGAGGGAATACATACTAAAATTAAGATTAAGTATTCAGAGTTTATTTATTTGAGTTGAAAAAATTAACTTCCAACGTAACTCCTTCCATCAATGGCTGAAAAAAGTCTTTACATACGATGAATATACAATAACATTATATATGCAAATTTATAACAAAATACACCTCAAACACGGATAAAGATAAATTCTTTTTTATTCAAGATTAATTTTTTTAATATTTATTTGAGTTGTTATGTAATTGAAGAATTTTTTTAACAATTTATTTTTCCAAATCCTACTTTCTTACAATATTCAACTCCGTTTTTATAACCCAAATGAACAAAGCCTCAATATGCTCCATCTGTCCCAAAGCTTTTTTTTTTACCCAATTTTCATTTTTGGATTGCACAAAATATATTTCCCATCGGCTTTAATTTCTTTTTTAGAAATGATGAACATGTAAACAAATTCTAACTTTATTACATTTTTGTTTTTTAAATTCCTTAAAAATTAATAGATATTACATTTTTGTTTTTTAAAACGAAGACATTACTTTTCTTTCAGTCAAAAGATAGTGTTTATTTTAAAAATAAGATAAAGTGTATTATTTTTTAGTCCAACACTCAAAACCACTTCTCATCATACACGAAATCCTTGTAGTTATACATAGTCATTAACAAATGTGATGATGGTTTTAGACTTTTAGGTGAATAATAATTGAATTGAATGACCAATGAGTTCTATATCTTTAACCTCACATTTGGCTTAAACTTTAATTTAATCTTTTTTTCTTTAATAACATGGTCATGTATTCCTTCCTTCCGGCGATAGACTTTTTTCTCTTACTTTTCAATAACTTTTGTTTAGTTATACATTTTCATAGATTACTTGATAAAATAAAATATTCTTGTCACATATTTATTGTAAAGCTTTTGATGTTGTGTTTTAATATGTAAGTGCAATTTTTATTCTTACACCAATTTTTAAAGAAAATAATTTCAAAAAACACAAAATTTGCCTCATAATTCTAGAACTGTAATCTATTTTTGTATAGAAAGAACATTTGAATATTAAACGGTGCAATTCAATTTTTTGGAGAATTTTATTTTTAAATTTAGTAAACAATTCTTTTTTACATTAAAACTTGTAAATAATTGGTGTGATATAGAAACTTTAAAAATAAAATAGATTGGTGGGGACTGTGAGGGTATTTGGAAGTATTAGGGCTGGCTTGGGGAAATCGAAAACCCCAAGCCAAGCCGAAATCGAGCTAGAAAAAAATCAAACAGAAAAACTAAAACCAAATGTAAAAAAGCCAAATTCTTATTGTTTCGTTTCTGTTTTGGTTTTCACTTTGAAAATCGAACCGAGTTGAATAAACCAAAATTTCTTAGGTACTTTACTTTGTATATTTGATATGCATGTGAAAAGAATCATGTTATAACTAATTTACTTTAGTTAATTAAAGTTATTTTTTCTTAACTATTAAACATTTCAAACCATGTTATAAACTTTAAAAAAAATCAAGGAATTTAAATACCAATAACTAATCCCAATATGGAGTTATATTAACATTAAAATTTGATATAAGTAATTTACATATTTACATAAAACAATTTGATGTTATAATGGAAATGAAAGTATTATACAAAAAAACATAAATTCTCCGTAGTTGATGTTTACATACGAAGACTTTGTGAGTATTTGGAATCCCGTAGATGTTTGTTGGGCACTCGGCACATTTGTTTTATACATAAAATAGAACTTAATTGAACTCTAACACGTTTTTCGGTTTTTTGTTTTGGGTAAAAATCGAACCGAAAAACCAACCCCAACCCTATTTATTTTTATAGCTTCATCGAGTTTGTGTTGTCAAAACATTTTTAATGCTTATAAATTTTTATTTTTAAAACCGAAAAACAAAAAAAACAAAAAAAAAACTGCATAAAACCGAACTGAACAACCAACAATTTACATATTTTTGATGCAAAACCAAACCAAATCGAACCGCCAATTTACCTTCCATTTTCTCTTTGGCTTTGGGTAAAACCAAACCGACAAAACCAAACCCACCCCTACATGGAACCATACAAGTCAAGGGATGATTCATGTGTTTTGAGAATCAAAATAGGTATTTCGTGTTCTACTTCAATCTCGTCTGTTTTTAGGGTCCGTTTGGCATACAGAATTGATGGAATTGAAATTGAATTGGACTTGAAATTTCATGGGATTCAATTCCATAGAATTGAATTCACCAATTCCAATTCATTTTTTGCACTATCAATTCCAAATTTACATAATTTTTGTGTTACCAAACACCAATATTGGAATTAAAGTTCTCAATTCCAATTCCATAGTTTGAATTTCATGTGTCAAACGAGGTCTTAATGTATTTTAAAGAGAAATGTTAGAATCACAAAAAAATTATAAAAACTCACTATTTGTGAACTAATCAAAAGAACAAAATGGTCTTGAAAAAGTCATATTCACCAACGACAAGTTTGCATGATATTTTTCTTTTGAAATAAATAAATAAATGCAAATGCAGTTTCAAATTATAGCAAGAATCAGCCAATGAAATTCTAATTAAAATTGTTCTCCGAATCAAATCGGAACCAATAAAAAAACCGAGATCTGAACTGAACCGCCGGAAAAAGGTTCCACTTAAGATTCTACCCTTCCGGAAACCGGTCCGCGCCCAAAAAACACATTTCCAAAATCCGGAAGGGTCCGAAGGGCCTACAACCTTTGTTAAAACATACCCCGCAAAAGTCTACCCCTTCACACAAGACAATGCTGTAAAAGTAAAAAAAAGAAGAAGAGAGATTTACTTTTGTGGGGTTTCACTGTCTTCCCCATATATTTACATTTTCACCTTTGGATGGTCTCTTCAAATTCTTGCCCTTTGGTCTTCTCCACCCACCTCCATTGTTATTTTCTGAGGTAAACACACATTTACATATATGCATTCGAATATTATTTACTGTGTCCGATTCGTTTAAATTGGAAAAAAATTTCATCGTAACATTCAGAATCGTGCGATTTTACATAATCGCTCATAGAACGAGTAAAGATACTAAAGACACCACTGCTTCCGAAATTTTTATACGTTTGACCG